GAAACTGAGGAGTTGGGGTGTAGGGGGTTGTTTCCAAAATACTTGTTTTAGGTCATTTACTGATGGAGGGAAGAAAAGCTCCTTCTCTTTCCTTCTGTGGCAGCACTAAATCTTCCTCAGCCCTGGCCATTCTACCCCCCTGGAGCACTTTCTTATATTCTCCACCTGTTGTGAGGGAATTCCATAGGGCTTAAGAAATTCTGAGAAAGGCTCTTCTATCCGGGCAAAAGGAGAATCAGTGAAGAGACTGATAGAGCAAGACAGACTGAGAGGCAGAAAAAGTTATTTACAGAGAGAGATGGTATATATGTGGAGAGAGAAATAGAAACAGAGACAAAGAGAGCAGGAGAGAGATATTTATTGAGAGGGAGATGGAGAAACACAGGAAAAGAACCAAAGAGAAAGAAGAGAAAGAAATAGAAAGGGAAAAAAGGGGAGAGAGAAGAAAGGGCAATAGAAAATGTAAAAGACATGTTGAAATTTATAGAAAAGTCAAGTGCAAGGCAGGGAGGGGCTTCTGGGCCTCTGTGTTGCCTCAAGTGATGAGAAAGAGGATGACAGGAGGCAATGCTGTCACCGAGTCTGTGCTGTCCTGCCTGCATGGAGAGAACAATGCCAGCTTGATCCTGTCTTCAGGATGCTTCTAGTCAAAACAGCCCTGTTGATGAGTCACTGCATTTACAAGCATGAGTCCAGTGTATGAGAAAAATTCATGACAAGCCACATCATACAAAGTATCTGGAAGAGCTCAGGATGGGGCCAAAGTTACCTTTGGGACAAAGTGGTTAGAAAGAGTAGCAGTACATGTACAGACAATGTCTGTCATGGAGAATCCATGCTGTGCCTAACCCAAGAGGGTTTTCTGGAGTAGAAGGTAATTTCTAGAGCCGTGGGAAGTGAGGCCACTGGGGTGGGCCAACAGCCATACACAATCAACCATGTGAGAATTCTAGCTGAAGACTGATCCCCACATTCCTCAGGCCTCCTGCCCACCATGCCCCACTCCCTCACACTCAGTGCTTGGCCTCTCTCAAGAAGAACATGGAAGCTGTCAGGTGGAGCACAACCCCTGTCACCTCTCTATTCACACTTATATCTCCTTTTCTTTTTTTTTTTGTTTAAATCAACAAATAAAAATTATATATATTTGTGGAGTATAATGTGAAGTTGTGATACATGTATACATTGTAGAAGGATTAAGCCAGGCTAATTATCCATAATATGGAAACAACCTAAGTGCCTAATAACAACAGATAAATGGATGAAGAGAATGTCATGCACACACACACACACACACACACACATACACACATACACACACATACACACACACACACACACAGAAGTATTTTCAGCCTTATAAAAGGAGGAAATCCTGTCATTTGGAACATGGGTGAACCTGGAGGACATTATGCTAAGTGAAATAACCCAGGCACAGAAAGACGAATAGCTCATGATTTCACTTATATGTGGATACAAAAGTTGAAATCATGGAAATAGATAGTAGAATGGGGGTTACCGGAGGCTGGAGGAAGGGGTGGGTGGGGAAAGGGAAGATGTCAGTTAAAGGGTATAAAGTTTCAGTTAGGAGGAGTAAGTTCTAGTGAGCTATTGCAAAGCATAGTCACTATAATTAGTAATAATTATATATTTCAAAATTGCTAAAAGAGTAGATTTTAAATGTTCTCACTGTAAAGAAAGGATAAGTGTGTTAGGCAATGGATATGTTAATTAGTCTGACAATCATTCTCCATCTCCTTTTATTATTTCTCTTTTCTCTCCAGGAGCTACTCACTGCCCCTATCCAGTCTCCCTTCCCTATTACATGCTAAATATTCCAGGCTTACATGAGGTAGTCTGTGAGAAGGGCATGTTAATACATGCCATACCATTTCATCCTCACAGGACTCCTTTGAGTTGGGTATGATAATATCTATTTTAAAGATGAAGAAACTGAAATTCAGAGAAGTCAGGCAACTTATCCAAGATAACACAGCAAAGCTGAGATTCAAACTTAGAAATCCCTGGCTACTCAGTCCATTCTCTTTCCACTGTGCCAGACAGAATCCCAGGTACATTGAAAAAAATACTTGTTGAGTGAAATTCTGCCCATTTAGGACCCACCGGAGCCAGGGTGAGAGGACTGCAAAGTGCAGTTCCAAGGAAAGGATAATTGTGGGAACAAGATTGAAAATGCCAGGCTGGTGCACCCACTGGCTGAGCCATTAGGGGCATTGAGGGTCAAGAGAGAACAAGCAATAAAAATTAATAGTGCAAAGACAAGTTAATTAAAAAAGCCCTGCATATGCAGAGGGAAATATTGCATATTATCACTTCCTCTCATAATTGTACAAATGTCGAGCGGGTAGCCGGGTAGCTGGACCTTCACCTAGCACACAATCCTTTCCAATCCTCTCACCAGGGCCCTCTCATCAGGGCATCTGCTGGTACAGTTGAAGGGTTGGTGAAGTTCTTTTCTGAGACCTGATTACCTCTTTTTTGGGTCCCTCTCCCCTTCGTGACTACCCTAGCTCTGTGCCCAGTCATCAAGATGCTGCCAGTGACCCAGGCTCTCCTCGGATTGGGCCCAGTTGAGGTGTGGTCTCTCTCAGGTATATTTACCTTCAATAGGAAGCATCTGGAAAACTCAGCTATGAGGCTAAACTCCCAGAATTTTAGGCACTGTTGAGGAGAGGCTTTGAGATAAAGAAGATTCGTCAGCCTCCCCTGCCTCCGATTTCTCACCTGCATGATAGAACTGTCAGCTTCCTGAATGCCAGCCACTGGACTAGGTGATTTTTATATATACGATTGTGTGGGATCTCATTTCATCCTCAGTGCAGTCTTGTGAAGTTTATTACTCCAATATTTGATAAATGACAAAACTGGGGCTCAGAAAAGCTAAGTAACTTGCCCAAGGTCACATAGCAAGTAAGCGGCAGAGCTGGAATTTGAACCCAGGCAGTCTGGCTTCAGAGACCATACACTTATAGCAGTTACCCTACACTGACTGCCTCCCTACAAACAAAACAACAACAGCAACAAAACTGAATGAAAAACCATTCTATTTCTGTCCCACCACCAAAAAGGCATGATAAGCCCAGTTCTATGGCCCATGAGACCCCCAACCTAGGGCTTCTTCCTCCTTCATGACATTATATCCTAACTGTAAAGTACCATGGAACAAATATGTTACTTCTAGAAAGCTGGGCCTGGAAATACCAAAGTTGGATTCAAACCTTGGCTTTCCTGACCTCTAATCTCATTATTTCAAACCCATAGTTTAGCTCAACTTTTCACACTGGGAACCCCGATATGACCCGAATGGATGTTGTGTGGTAAACCTGGGCTGTGGCGATATTTTCCTCTGTTGAACATCCTTCCATATTTTCAATATATGAACATTCTCACAGTCTTTTCTGTTCCTTTTGGAATATCTCCGTATACTTTCAGGTTAAGAATAATGGGCAATAGGCATCAAGCTCTTCCTCTGTGTTATATGCACTGAGTTCACTGACGTATGTGGATGATCCATTTTATTCTTCCACTGTCCTATGAGGTAGGTACTGTTATTAACTCTATTGTGCAGGTGAAGTGATAGAGGCTCAGGGAGGTTGAATGACCACCACAAGGTCATACAGCTACTAAGTGGCAAGCTAGGATTGGCCTGTGTGACTCCAGATCTGGGGTTGCTATCTACTACTCAGGGCAGGGTATTTGGAGCAGCTAAATAAGGGTTTTAATAGAGAGATTTTTCTAGCAACTGCCCCATTGCAAAGATGACAGAATTGATGTTGAGAAATCTTCAATGACTAGCTTAAGTCACAGTGTGTGGGGGAGTTGAGCAGTGACCTGAAGCCTCCCCAGTTCTTGTCCCAGTCCTCAGATGCTGTAAGGTCTTTGAGGGTAGGGCTGGTTCTGATCCACTTATCTCTCAGTGTCTATACATATTATTAGTAGGGGTTCAGTTCATACATTTTGGTTATGAAATGACTGTTTCTAATGATCATTTTCATCTGGTCTAGCTTTGTTCTCTAAATGCCAGGTCTTGTCATGTTCCAGGTTTGCATCAACCTCCCTCTAACAAATATGGAATATAGATGAGGGCCTGAGCCATCTGTGCTGTTCTGTTTGATTTAAGGTCATCTGTGGCTTCACCATCCAGATTTCACCACTAGTATTTCATACATTCATTTCCTGCAGTTCTGCTTCCTACAGAAGGAATCACGTGGACGGGCGGCCACAGTAATGAGGAAGCCAAGGTTATAGCTATCAAAATGAAAACCCAGAAAACAAACTCACACAATAAAAAAAGTACCTAACAGATACCAAGGGCTTTCCATATAGTAGGCATTGTTCTAAGATATTTATATGTACTAATTCATTTAATCCTCACAACAATCTACTGAAATAGATGCCATTATAGTCCCTGTTTTACAGATGAGGAAACTGATTCTCAGAGAGAGCTGGCTACACAGCTTATAAGTGGTAGAACTAGAATTTTGGGTATGTTTGATCATGTTTGACACCAAAATCTCTGTTCTTGACCATGATGCTAAGCTAGTTACACTCATTACTATAGACTTGTGAATAGATTGGGAACTGAGCTAGAGGATCTGGCAATAACAATTCCTAGGACAGGATTTGTGTTTGGTGGTGCTATTCATGAAGACAACTAAAAGAGGACTAGTTTGAGATGGGGGTGGGGTGGATGTGAGTTTGGCTTTTGAATATATCAACCTTGAGGTGTCTCTGAGACATCCATTTGGAGATGCCAAGAAGGCAGATGAATATGCTGTCTGAAACTCAGAGGAGAGATTGGGGAGTCTTCACCATATAGATAAAAATGACTAACGTTTACTAAACACTCAGCATGTGCCAGCACTGTTCTAAGAGATTTATGTGGATTAATGATTCTAATTTAATTCTCATAGTGACCCTATGAAGTTGATGTTTTATGATCCTCATTTCAAAGATAAGGAAGACATTAAATGACTTACACAGGGTAGTATGGCTGGTAAATTGCAGAGGCAGGATTCAAACGTAGGCAGTCTGAATCCTCTGGGGTTCAGCTTCCTCAACTGTAAAATGGAAAAAACAATTTCCATTATGCAGGGTAACTGTGAAGATTATATATGTCAAAACCCTAGCATATAGTAGGGATTCCACAAATTAGAGCTATTATCATTAAAAACATCAATATTATAAATATTTATGCTTATTTATTAATTTACAGTAACATATTATTCTTGTAACAGGTGTGACTTAGTGATTTCTCAACTAGGCTTTCCTTCATTTTTGCTTTCTTAGTTTCCCTGAGAAACTCAGCCTGATTTCGTGGGGCTACTATTAGTATAGATACTATTAGTACTATCTCAGGAAGATTCTGAGGAAAAAACACGCCCATTTTTGTAACGAGTGGCCACCATATGAATCAGATCACACACTGAGCTCCAAATTCCAGCCACTGACTGCCTCTGAACTCTCTTAGCATCTTTGGTTTTAAAGCACATTAGATGCCCCAGGCCCTTGTCTTCAGTTCAACTCATTTTAAGGCCTTTTTCTCAGTACTTTCATGGCAACTCTGTCCTTTCCATTAGCCAGCCCTCCTGGAACTACAAGCATCGTAGGCCCAACTACGCACCCAAAAATCATAATGAAAAAAATCTTCAAAATCCCTTATTTGCTTGCTACTACCACTCTACCCACAAGAGGGCGCTACCTCACATATAATCCTTACATTTTTGCCGCAGCGATTAATCAAAACCTGAGACAGTGGCAGAATATTAACCACGTGTAAACAGACCCCCAAATATGTCTGGAGACCAAAACCCTAACATTGGCCACAGCCTGAGCCTTGTACCCTGGCCTCAACATGCTCTCTATTCTGAGGGCACTACAGCTAAATAATTAAAGACATCGCTTCTGGCGTCAACCTGCTTAGGTTCTGATTATGGTTCTATCACTTCCCAGCAGCTTGCACTTTGAGCCTCAGATTTTTCACTGAAAAAGGGGAATACTATCAGTAACTATCTCAGGAAGATTCAGAGGAACAAATGGGTCAATGTTTGTAAAGAGTTTAACACAATGCCTGGCACCTGTTACATTCTCAATAAATGTTAGCTATTTCTGAGCCCTTGTCCTGGCCACCAACTTAATTAGGTCACACAATGAACTCCAGCTACAGACTGTCTCTCAACTGGCCATCTCACATGCACAGTAGTGGGAAGGATGGTGGTCGACGGCTCCATGAACCAGCATGCCCACTAAGGGAGATACAATTTGAGGTTCCCTGATGCCTCTCCACCCTGGCCAGCTTCCTACCATGTGCACCCTTACGTATTCATGTACGTATTCAGGCTAAGGCTTCAGGTCAGTGTGCTAATTTTGGATTTCAGCTCCCCTACTGGCCTTGGCCTTGGAGGCAGGCTTAAATTACATGTGCCTACCCTGGAGATCAAGCTCTCCTCCATCCCCAAACAAACAGGTACATGTATGCCACACACATTCACACACACACATACTGACGCACATTAACACATACACACACACACACATGCGCGCGCGCGCACACACACATACACACACAGGGGCCTCTTCCAACGAAACTCCAGGAGCAAATCCCTGCCCAGTGGGGAAGGAGTGAAAGGTAACTGAGCCCTACAAGACAGCTGGGCAGCTGGCTCAGCCCCTGCCAGGCACTTTTCCTAGTAAGGGCATCTTTTGGGTGACAATATCCAATTGAAGACGCAGCCCAGGGAGCTCCATGACTGTTTCTCTTAGCCCCGCCAGCAATGTCCCCAGAACCCTTCTGGGGGATGTATTTAGAGACCTGCTGGTACTCACTGACCCGGTCAGCCAGCAGCTGGTGCCTGCTTGCCTGCCTGTCTTCCTTCTCCCTCTCTCTTCCCACCCCAATGGCTGTCTCTGGACCAACAGAGATAAGTGATTCAAATTCCCTTAATTTGTGGTCTCCCTTAGTGCTGTGTGGGGCCTAGAGGTGCCCTTCCCCAGTGTTGTTTGTGAGCTTTTACCCTGCATGCTCAACAACCTCCATGCCATTTCAGTTGTTTCCCCAAGGCAGTGGATGAATTCTAGTTTTCCAGCTGGAGGAATGTGTGGATGTGTTCTCTGGGATCCCATCAGCTCATGGAGATGGGCTTCCCTTGGGTGTGAGTCCAAAACACCCATGTATTCATTTCACAAATATTTAATGTGCCAAACACAGTTCTCAGTCTAAGATGCATAGTTTCAAAAAAGAAAAGAGAAAACAGAAAGAATTCTTTAAGGAGTTCATGATTCAATAGGACTAAAATGCCAGTATTGTACTTATAACATGCCAGGCACTATTTTGAGTGCTTTATCATCTATTAACTTTTTAGTCTTCAAAACCTCATGATACAAGGAATATAAGGAATATTATCCCCATTTTACAGATGAGGAAGCTAAGGCTCAAAGAGGTTTTATGACTGTAGTGAGTCAAATGTATAGCATCCCCCAAAATTCATGTCCCCCTAGAACCTCAGAATGTGACCTTTTTTGGGAAACAAGTCTTCGCAGATGTAATTTGTTAAGAATCTTGAGATGGAATCCTTCTGGATTTAGGGTGGGTCCTAAGTCTAATGACTGGTGTCCTTATAAGAAAAGGAGAGGACACAGAGAGACACAGAGAAGAAGGTTATGTGAAGATGAAGGCAGAGATTGAAGTGACGTGTCTACAAGCCAAGGACCGCCAAGGACTGCAGACAACCATCAGAAGCTAGGAGAGAAGTGCAGGACAGTTTCTTTCTCAGAGCCTTAGCAAGGAACCAACTCTGCAGATGCTGTGATTTCAGATTTCTAGCCTTGTGAACTGGGAGAGAATAAATTTCTGTTGTTTTAAGCCACCCAGTTTGTGGTAATTTGTTACACCAGGAAATGCATGCGGTGACTTTCAGAGCTAAGATTTGAACCTAAACAATTAGGCTCCTGAGTCTGTCTTCTTAACTCCTTCCGTCTACTACATCTCACACCCAGGCAGGGAAGGTGGTTGGGGGGCCTCCACAGGGGAAGTTGGAAGAGTAATTTCCGTGGTGATCTCAGATGACTAATAGCCTGACTCCTCCTAAGCCTCAATTTTCTCATCCGTACCATTAGGAATTTGAGCTAGATGGTCTTTAAGGCCCCTTCCAGTTGTGACATTTTATGTGTCTGTGATTCATGCTTTTGGGGGAGAGGTGGCACAGTGACAGTAGCGAGAGCAGGTTGTGGATGAAGGGATAAAGAATACACATTATATATAATTGACTGATTTTCAAAAGGCCTGTGGATAAAAACCCTATTATGGAAAATTTTTCATTATCTTTCCCTGTTGTTCTCTTTATGACTGTTTCTCTCTGGCTCCTCCCTCCTTCCCCCTCTCGCATATGCATATGCATCCCTACACCCACACACATGCCCAGAGTCTCCTCTCCAACCCTGGAGAATAAGTTCACATTTATGAATTTCAAACTGATGTAGAAGGAAGGGCCAGGGGATGAGTGTCCAGCAGTTTCTGGCAAGGAGAATGGCATTTTGGGGAGGGGAGGGCTCCAGAGACTTGGGGCTGGAAACAGTTTTATTAAGCATGTTCATTAATGAGCCCAAGAAGGAAATGACTAATAAATTGATGGAAGGAGGCTGATGACACCAAACCACTTGGTTAATTAAAACCACAGAGGTCTTAGAGTGACTCTTAAAAGCCCCTGAGGATGGAAGTAGTTGTTGATAGGCAGCAAATAAAGAATAAAAGCAAGAAAGACTATTCGGGGGGTAATCATTACAGGGATGTCTCTTACATGAAGAGGTATCTAAGACTGGGAATAGGCAAAAAGACAAAATACCCCAATTTTAAAACATCTTCCCTGATATGCCTCCCCTGGATATTAAAACCTCCCTGACATTTGCATGCTTCCTTATAAATGGGGTGATGCCTGACTGTAGCTGTTCTCCTAGTAGCCACTGGGAATGAGTGTGGGTCTAGGTCCAGAGCAAATGAAAGGAGCTATGGTGCCCCACGAAAGCCCCTAGATATTTGCCAAGTGGAAGGGAATCTGAGGGTCTTCTCTGTTATCAGCAGCCAAGTGGCATAGAGCCTCCCAGTCTATATGCACCTTTCCCCAGATTAGCTCCCAGAAGATGTTTCAAATGGAATAACAGGATGTGACTTTGGAAATGTTCACAGCAACAATTTAGGTTCTGGGTGATCATTTGTGGAGCAGTGAGAGGTACCTCACAGCTTGTATACAGGGACCTCTGCAGTAGAGACTGTCCTTAAGGTTTTGTCCTTTGGAAGAGTGGTAAAGTACAGACACTAGAAGTCTGCAGTTAGATGAACATGCCACTCAACCTTAGTTTCTTCATCCACAAAATGGGAGTAATTATGGTGTCTACCTCATATAGTTGCTTTAAGGAATAGATTAGAAAACATGGATAATATATTATGCCTGGAACATCGAAAATAAATAGCAACCTTTGTCATTTCTACCTAGATACATTTCATGTACCTCGAACTTGACATAATTCATTATTTCCCTCCCTCTGTTCCTTATCTCAGTTAATGGTATCGCCATTAACCCAGTTTCTTAAACTATAAACTTCAGAGTCATTTTCAGTTCCCCTGTTTTCCTTCAATCTCCACATTCAACTGAACACCGAGGTCTAGTTCCTTTCTCAATCTCTGTTGGCCCACATTGCCCCTAGTACAGACCCTCATCATTTCTTGCTCAGACAATTGCAACAGCCTCCTAACTGGTTTCTATGCCTCTGTCTCTCCTCTCTGCAACCCATTCTCCACAGTGTGTCCAGATAAGCTTTCTAAAGCATGAACTGTGCTCCAGCTTAAAACTTCCAAGACTTTCCTTTTCCTTAAAGATTAAGTCTACTCTCCTTATTTTGTCCTACAAGGAAATTCACAGATCTTTTCCTCTCCAGCCTCCTAGCCACTCCTCACACGTTGTGCATTTGAGCCTCAATGAATCTCTTCCTTAAACATGCCATGCTCTCTCACTTCTCCCTGCCTTTGCATAGACTGCTTCTTTCCTCTGTTCTCACCTGTTGAACT